ACAGCAATCAATGCTTTCTGCTGGTTTCATCAGAAGAGCAAGCTCACTGTGTTCCCCCCTGCCTGCTGTGCCTTGTTAGCCCTTTCTTCCATTTACCAAGTTGTTTGTGCTCTGTACTAGAAGCTCTCACTGGAGAGTGGTTTTTGGGGTCATCTTACTCAGCCAAGTGGTGAATGTTTGTAGGAGCAGAATTATGTTGCTTGCGTTAGCAGGCAGTGATGGGTTGTGGGAGGGAAGCTGGGGAGGAGGAAAGGAATCGTGCCTGGCTTCACCGCCTTCCCTTGCTCTCAAGCTGAACTGCATGACAATTGTGATTTTTCTTGGGCAGCCCCTCAAGTAATCAGGTGCTCTGCCTGCTGTCATCATGGTGCAGCTTAGAGGAAGGAGTTCAGCTGCTCAGGGAATGCATGCTCCTAACTGACAGAACAGGCCTCACCTGGTGTGGGTGTGTTGTCTGGACATAGAGTGTTTGTTCACATTTCTATCCTGCAGCAGGCTGTTAATTTTCTGGAGTCTCTTCTCTGTGTTCTTGTAAGAACCTCACAGACAGCGTTGTGAGGGCAACAGCTGACACCCTGCAGGGCCCAATCCAGTCGGCCTACAGGGAAGCCTTCCAGAGCGTCGTGTTGCCAGCCTTTGAGAAGAGCTGCCAGTCCATGTTCCAGCAAATCAATGACACCTTCAAGCAGGGCACGCAGGAATGTGAGTCATCTTTTGTGTCAGTGGCTGACAAGTTGGCCTTGGCTAATGTCACCTCCTCTCAGTTTCACTGTTGAGCTCTTAGCCCACTGGTGTAATCTGAAAGTGTGCTACTCTTTCCCACTTGAGAAATGGATGTGAGGGGATTTTGTAGGCGACTCCCTGCTCTTGCAGCTCCAGGCTCTGTAACCCACGCTGTGAAATGCTTGATGTCATTCAATGAATCATTGACTTGCTGGCTTTACTACCAGTGCAGCTGGGCTTTACTACAGTGGCATTACCACATCCTACTTCTGTTACTGTGTCTCATGTAATTCTTTGTGGTGGGGAGGCCAGAAGCAGGATTTCTGTTAGCTTAGCACAGCCCACAGCAACCTTATACATTTTCCCCTCTTCTGTGCTTGTACACTGGCTTCTGCTACAGGATGTGTAGAGCCTGGTGGTGGATTTCTACTCTGATCGCAGTGCTTACAACTGAACTCTCTTCCTCTTTGGCTGTTGCAGATGTTCAGCAGCTCGAGACTCACATGAAGAACAAGAAGGCACGAGAACAGGAGGCCCGGGACCCACTGCTGAATCAGCTCCGACAGCTCATCAGCACCTTCCAGAGCACCACCGAGCAGCTGGCTTCCACCATTGCAGCCAATATCCATGCTGAGGTGCAGCACCAGCTGCACATTATTGTGGGCAAGTAAGTTGACAGCCGGGCTTGCTAAAAGAGAAGTCAGTGAGAAGCACAGATGTTTAAAAAGAAATTTCTCCCTGCTTTGTTGTGGAAATGAGCCCTTTGCCATCCTAACCACAGAGCTGCCTGTTAGCTCTGTGTGGCATGACAAAGCATGTGGGCTGGTGTAACTGTTGCCCTGTAAGGCACAGAACAAAGACCACAGAACACTTTGAACAACCAGCTGTATCTCTGCTGCGTGAGGGAGCTTGGGACATGCTTGTCATGCCATGTGCGTGTTTGTGGACCTCACTGCTCTGAAGTCACTCTCTCCTCTCTGTTCTAAAATGATCTTTGGGTCTCTTCGAGGCTTTTCCTCTCCATGTCCTCAGGCATGCCAAAATTTTTGCAGGCTCCTTTTGCCCTCTCAGCTGTTGTGCCTGTTTGGCCATCCCAGATTCGAGATGTGATCCTGGCAGTGCCTTCAGCTTGTGTGCACTGTGAAGCTGCCTGCTGCAAAGACTGGCTAGTATCACCTGCAGGGTAGAGTTCCTTAAAATAGAAGCCCTGTCTATTTTAAGCCATTAGAGCATATATCAGTGTATTGGGGTCTTCAGCGTGGAGCAGGCTTGGCAGGGGGGGCATCAGACCAAATGCCAATCCCATTGCATGGGCACTGCTGGCTCCCAGGGAAGCCCTGCTGTTGTACCACAGAAGAGCAGCTGTGATGCTCTTTGCCTGTTGCTGAGGAGAGGATCCCACCTCTGGGTTAACACTGCTTGCAAGAGATTGCTGTAGGAGGTTGGCCTTTCAGAGATCTATCTACCTTACAGCATCACCACCTTGTCAGGTATATTAAAGAATTAAGTGCTATTGTAATGAGAATTTGTTTCCTGGAACATCACTTTCCCAGAAATTACAGGATTGTAATGTTTCAACATGCACCTTGGGATGCTGCATTGCTGCCAAAGAGCTTCCTTGGGCTGCCTGTTTCTACTACCTGTGCCTCAGAACAGCTTATGTTGACCCTTTGGGAGCCATGCTAAAATAAGCAAGCCTGTGCTTCCTCCCTGCTACAAGCATTGTACAACGAATCCCCTCAGCACTTTGTTTTCAGAGATACTTTGTGTTTGTTTGTTTGTTTTTTAGCCTGCAGGAGTCGATTTTGACTCAGGTACAGAGAGTCATTAAAGGAGAAGTGAGCCTGGCAATGAAGGAGCAGCAAGCCGCTGTCACTTCGAGCATTGTTCAGGCAATGCGTTCAGCTGCAGGGACTCCCATCCCCTCCACTCACCTGGACTTCCAGTCTCAGCAAACTCACATCATTCAGCTGCTCCAGCAGGGCCATCTCAACCAAGCTTTCCAGCAGGTACGTGGCCTTCCTTGCACTGGGCAGCGTTGCTTTTTAGAGGACAGAGTGAGGGGGAAGCTGCTCCTTAAGGTGGAGGGCATAAGTGCTGAAAAGACCTGTAGCAGCAAACAGCTCAGGGGGATCGTTTGCACTCACACAGGTCAGGCCAGAGCCATGCACAGTCTATGATTGGTGGCACTGAAGTTCCTTCTTCCTTATCATGTCAGGACAGCATCAGTGCTGCAGTAAGGCAGTGACTTTGCCATGAGCAGCAGCACATGGAGCACCCCTGAAGTGCAACAGCTTCGTAAGCCTCTCCGGGCAGATCTGCCAGCTGGGACCTGACCTTGGCTTTGCCTTTGAATATGCAGACAGATTCATTTGAGCTGCTGCAGACAAACTCCACTGAGAATAGAAACAGTGCTGTGCCACTGAGCTACAAGCATGGCCCCGCTTCATGCTGCCGATGAACCTGGTCCCCTGTGCCTGGCTGTGAGCTGAGCTACCTGTCTGCTCAGCTTAGAACAGACACGGGTGTCTTCTTAGTGTAGACACAGCCTACACACAGTCCTGTCTGCACCAATGGGATTTGCTGAGCTTTCTGCTAGCAGAGGCTGGCGAGCCATCGAGCTGTCCCATGCTCTGTCCCATGTCCTTCACCTGCCCGGTGCTCCCTCTGCATTTATAGCTGTGTTTTCCTTGCAGGCTCTAACAGCAGCTGATCTCAACCTGGTTCTGTATGTCTGTGAGACTGTGGACACGCAGCAAGTGTTTGGCCAGCAGCCGTGCCCGCTGTCCCAGCCTGTGCTGCTCTCACTCATTCAGCAGCTCTCCTCGGATTTGGGTACTCGTACGGAACTGAAGCTGAAGTGAGTATGGTTGCACACGTGGATTTGAGTCCCTATAGGTGTATGGCTGGCTCTCAACTTGCTCTGTGTAAGCAGAACCTTTCTTCTAGGAAGGCTGCAGCTTCTTGGGGCTGTTAGTAGTAAGTGAAATCTGTGTAGTGATGCCTTTAACCAAGGAAACGTTGCCACGTGGAGTTAACAGGAGGGGGGTAGTGCTGTGCTCCCTGGGTAGCTCAGTGCTCAGAGCTGGAAGCTTTGCCTGCAATTCTGAACGAACCCATCACTGTATTCAGTGTTGTCTGTTTCCAGGCACGGCTGCCAGAGATGCTCAGTGGGAGCTGTCAGCTGGAGCCACGGGAGGCACTGTCTGTTGGGTGTTCTGAGCAAAACACACGTGCCTGTGCTGACACATGTGCCACCAGCATTTTAAGACTGAGAATCAGAACCCTTTTAGCTGCCCTGGAAAACAAACTTTTTATGGTACCTGCAGGGTTTGATAATGGCATGTTTGGAAAATATCTCAGCACTGAGTTAGAAGGATAAAGGTAGTTCACACTAGAAAGAAAGGAGAGCTATAAGTTACAAGAGAGCTGGTGAGTGGTTACAGTGGCTGCAGGCTGAAGTGTAGGCTCTTCTCCCACACCTCCCTGGATAGGAAGAGAAGACCTTAAACATATCTTGAATAAGCCTCAGTGCTGTGAGTTTTACTGTCTGCCAAGTGCCTTCTGCTAAAATGCCATCAAAGAAAATACACACAGAGCTCTGCCCAGGTGTGCTCGCGTGCTGCCTCAGCACTGCAGTGAGGCCCCACTTGTAGCCAGCTTCGTTGCAGGTCCTGCAGCCTGTGAATGGGGCTGCAGCACAGCAGAGAGCTCCACTCTGCTCCCGTTGAGCGTTTTCTGATGACTGAACTTAAGGCACTGCTCCATACAAGAGCAGAGCTGTGCCTCTGCAGTGCTGAGATGGATGGAATTGGCGTGGGCTCAGGCGCTTTGTTTGGTTCTAACCCATCTTTCTCCCCTGCAGTTACCTGGAGGAGGCCGTGATGCACCTGGACCACAGTGACCCCATCACCCGGGACCATATGGGGTCAGTCATGAGCCAGGTGCGGCAGAAGCTTTTCCAGTTCCTCCAGGTGGAACCTCACAACACGCTGAGCAAGCCTGCGCGCCGCCTGATGATCATGCTGCAGGGCCTGGTCACTCCTGGCATGACCTAAGGGGGGGCTGCCGGGTGCTCCGGGGAGCCCCCTCCCCTGGCTCCCGTAGTTCCTCACCACCTATGGCTTGTGTTAAAGAGCTCTTGCCAGGAAACCTATCAACTCGTGTGTAATATCTCTAAGGCAAACGCCACCTGCGTGTAGTCCCAAATAGTCACTGAACGCTCACTTGGCTTTGTAGTCCTCAATAGCCTCTTTGGAGAGGTGGAAGTCTCTTTTCCGCCCCCTCCAGCTGATGCCAGAGGGTTTCTCACCCCTTTGCTTTGGAGCCCTCTGCCATCAGCAGAGGAGGGAGGAGGTGGGCGAGGGTCGTTCGCAAGGAACGGGTCCCTGTGTTGAGTCAGGGGCTCAGAGCCATCCCTGTGGAATTGCTCCAGGTGTGGTGAGGGGGGGGAGAGGGTAGCAGCGAGATGAGGGGAGTGGGGGCAGTTATCAACCCTCAGCATCGCCTGTGGGGCTGTGGGCGCTCCAGTGGGGTGGGAGCTCGTTCCTGGTTCAGCTGTTACTTTGGATTTTACACCCAGGGTGCACGGGGTGGGCAGGGGAGGGCTGGGAGGGCCGAGGTTTCTTTTTATCTAAATTTCGAATTTTTTTTTTTTTTCGGACGTAACGTTCAGAACAATTCAATAAATTTTTTTTGGAGAAAAAAACAAACAAACAAAAAAACCCAAACAAACGTCGCCATCCAACTGTCTGAGAACGAAGTGCTTGTAGCGGGGAGGAGCTCCGTCCCCTCCCGCAGCATCGCAGGAGGAGGCGGGGGGAGGCGGGGCTGGGGGCGGTGCGCCGGGATCGGGACTGCGAGGGGAGCGGAGCGCTGCGCACACGGAGCGGCGGCGGTGCGGGACGCTCCGCACCATGGGCTGCGGCTGCGGGCGGCTGCTGGGCGTCGCGTGCCCGCTGCTGCTGCTGCTGCTGCTGCTGCTGCACATCGGTGAGTGCCGAGGGGAGGGGTGGGATGCAGGGGTTGCTGCTTTGAATCTTGTCCTCTCGCTTCTCCCGCTGCGGGGATGGATGTGGGAATGGGGGATCCCTGAGGCGGGCCAGCCGGAGCCGCGCTTGTGCCTCTTCTCCATCTCTTCTTCCTCTCTTCCCCATCTCTTCTTGCTCCTTTCTCTGCTCCTTTCTCCTATCTCTCGCGGCATCCCCCCGTCTCCCTCAGTCACTCAAAGCCAAAGCTGCACTTTTGCTTTTCCCCCATCTCTTCCTCCTCTCTTTTTCCTCCTTTCTCTCCTCCTCTTTTCTTTCTCTCCTCCTTTCTCCTATCTCACTTAGAGCATCCCCCCATCTCCCTCATTACTCAAAGCCGGAGCTGCACTTGTGCTTCTCTCCCCTTTCCCTTTCCTCCCCCTTTCTGTCCTCCTGCCCTTCTATCTCTCTTAGAGCATCCCCCCTCCTCTCTCAACCACTCAGAGCCTTTGCTTTTGTTTGCCGTGCTGTAGTCACAAATTAATCTGTGCTGTTTGGGGATAAGAGGGACGCACAGATGGCTCCGGAGCAATCCTAGAAGGCTGGGAATGAGGGTCCATGCAGCAGACACTGTAATTCCCGGGGCTGTGAAGGAACTCAGTCCCACTCCATGTAAGAATGTGAGCCCCTCTGCTTCGGGTCCCCAGCAAGGGCTGCTTTGTTCCGTAGAACCTCGGAGTCATGAAGGTTGGAAGAGATCTTTAATAACCCACCCTCGCTATGCCCACATCCCCTCCTTTACAAACCCAACATTTCCATTGCTTTCCTGCTTGCATTCTGGACCCACTGACACGCTGCTGGCTCTGGTGGGTTGTGCCACACCGTGAGCCCAGCGGGTGCAACCTGGCGACGGGGCTCAGCTCCATTCCTCCATCCCCCCCCTGCAGCCGTCGCTCAGGAGCCCATCAGCACAGCAGGGAAGTGCAACACCATCTACAAAGGTTTTGCTGGCTGCCTCATCAGCTTGGGGGACAGCATGGCCCAGAGCATGCGGCAGCAGCGGGACGAGGAGGAGGAGGAGGGCGGCCAGGAAGCGCAAGAATTGGACACCATCTGCAGGTGAGCCACCCCGTCCCCGTCCCCCGATCCTGGGTGCCGCCACCACCCTGATGCCCATCCCTATTTCCAGGTCCTGGGATGAGTTCCACGCCTGTGCCAGCGGGGTTCTGTCCCGCTGCCCCGAAGAGGCTGCAGCCATCTGGGAGTCTCTACGCCAGGAATCCCGCAAGATCCAGTTCCAGGGAAACCTGCAGGAGCTGTGCAGTGCTCGGGGCCGCCTGGCCAGCTCCCAAGGCTCACCGCCTGCTGAGACCAACCAGGCCACGCTGCGGGGCTCGGCCCGCCACGGTCACCCCGGCATACTGCCCCTGCTGGCCCTGCTGCTGCTGGGGGTTTGGGCATAGGGCTGCTCTCAGCCAAGGACCCGCCGTGCACTGCGCTAGGGGTTCAGCCTTGGGTCCCCGCTGACCTCAGTGTGGGCACAGGTTGAGCCCCAGCCCGACCCCTGCAGCCCTCACCTTCTCCTGGAACCCTTCAGATGGATTTATATTTATATTAAAAGATGCTTTTACATTTCTCCAGCCTCTCTGCTGCACGGTGCCCTCGTGCACTTCCCAACCCCGTGTGGCTCAGGGTGGCCTCGTGTTGTCCCCTCCTGGCACCCGGGGAACCCCCATATCCTCATTGTGTGGCACACCCAGAACATCCCTGAGGGTGCTAAGAGCTTTGCAGGGATTTCACCTTCCCAGCAGGACCAGAGCGATGCAATCAATCTGCCATCTGACCCAGGGGAGCCCAAATGCCCAGCCCAGCTTTGGTTCACCACGGTGCCCCATTGCCATCCACAGCACTGTGCAATTCTCTGCAGAGATTCCCATTTTCTGTCTCTCTGATTCCAGTCCCGCTATGTTTGGTCCTGTTTGTGGTCATGAAGGAAATTGGGGTACGTAGGGAGGAGAGTATGGTTGGGTGTGGGTTTTTTGTCTTCTGTTTTGATGATCTGTTACAGCTGAAGTAACTTTATCTGAATATCTCCCCCTTATAGCGAGACATTCAGCTCTCGCTGTCCACATCAAACCAGGGAAAACTATTTTGTCTATTTCCTGCAGGAGCTGAGAAGCTCTTCCTGCAGGGCCCTCTGCTTTGGCAGAGCTTTATCACAGCGGTGATGGACACGGCCTCAGTCAGTGCTGGCAGCTGGCAGTTGAGCATCTGCTGTGCTTAAAGCTCTTTGAGGACAGAGGTGGTGTTCCCAGCACTGCTGGTTCACACAAGCCTGGCACGACCTGCTATTAATTCATTAAAACGAGGCATTGTGCAGGAAGGACGCAGCCCAGGGCAGAGTGCTGCCCTGACACTCCTTGCACGGCAGCTGCCGCTGTCCGTGTTTAACGCTGCTGCCAGGGGATAATCTGCCTATTCTTCCATTTCCAATTTCTGACAATCCTGTGTTTAAGGCTGAATTAGTGCTGGGATGGCTAAGAGGATCAGCGTTGGGCCGGCGGCTGCCACCTCTGGGGGGCAGCTGGAGGTGGCTGGGAGTCGGAGGAACGCTGAGGTGATGCTTGTTCCCTCCTTTGAACACCCTCTAATAGCTTCATGTCCTTCTCGTGCTGTGGTGCTCAACCGTTGCTGGTTGGTGAGGTTGCACACATATCCTCAGTTGGCTCACAGATGTGTGTGTGGCACAGCAGGGCTATGGGCTGGCTTTAGGAATGGGGCTTTGCTGGCCAAATGATAGGCTTCATCCTGCCCTGGGGCTGCCACAGTGAGGAACAGACAGAGCTCCATCTGCCTGCTGGCTTTTGCCTTTCTCTGGCCTTGGAGGAGGGCTGTGGCACAAGCCTGCATTCAGGAGGGGCTCAGGGCTTCCTGGTGAAGGCAGAAGGCAGTCCTGCAGCTGTGTCCTATGGCAGGAGGGGCATACAGAATCATAGAATGGCCTGGGTTAAGAAGGACCACGATGCTCATCCGGTTCCAACCCCCTGCTGTGTGCAGGGTCACCAACCAGCAGCCCAGGCTGCCCAGAGCCACATCCAGCCTGGCCTTGAATGCCTGCAGGGATGGGGCACCCACAGCCTCCTTGGGCAACCTGTGCCAGTGCCTCACCATCCTCAGTCCTGCCCTCTGCGCTTCACAGCCACTCACTTGTTGTCCTTCAAATGACTGCATGAAGCTGAGACCACACAGTTAGGCTTTGTCCCAAGCTGCTCAGCTTGGGAGAGCTCTGCTTGGGCACAAGACAAATTTTCCCCCTAAAACACACAGCATGACTGGCTCATCCCCAGCGCCATGTCCCCATCCTCTCCATCCCACCCTTCCCTTTTGCTTTTAAACCCCAAACACAGCCCAGCAGCTGGGTTCCTGCAGCAGTGCCATCCGTGCTCTCCGGGCGCCTCCGCGCGTCGTGAAAACCCATTGCTCCGGTTATGAAACTCCATTGACCTACTTCGCACTCCCTGCTTTTGTTCTTAATTCCCAGATATGGCCGCTCTCCAGATTTTGCCCATCAAGGCAAATTAATTGGAGTCGATCCTAATTTGCTCTCTGCTATTCTTTGGGCAGAAGATTAAATGCTCGGCAGACATTATCTCCCTCTCTTTTTTCTGAGAGACGAACCTGAATTGTTATTATTTTTAAGGGAAGGGGACAAGGGAAAGCTGAGCATAGATTCACTTTTTTTCAGTCGCAGAATGGGATGGAGATGTTCCTGCATCCCTGGGCAGCCAGAATCAGATGGTGACAGTGCTGTGGTCAGCTGTGTGACAGTGACAGTGCACGTGGGATGGCAACTTGAGGGCCAACGTGCTGGCCATGCTGCCTGCTGCCTCCACCACGCCATGGTCTGCTCTTCCTTTCCTTTGCCAAAGGAAAACCCTACTGGCAGAGGTACAAGGGGACTCTGTGACACCTTCTCCTTTGTGCTGATGCTTTCTAGCTGCTCTCCTGCACACTCCAACTGGTCTCAGGGCTGGAGGACATGGTGCTCTAGGGCTGCCAAAAGTCAAACTTTCCAACGGGGCACAGAACAACCTCAATCCCTACGGATTGACTGCAGCTGAACAGCTGAGCTGGAGTCACCTCTGTGCTCAGCCCTCAGCCTGGCAGCCCCTCTGCGCTCAGCTTTGGGGCTTTTTTTTTGGATTTCTTTTTCTAAGCAGATTTAATTGAACATCCTCTTGCTCCGACCTCTGCTCGGCCTTGCTGGGACAACCTTGAGCTGGTTGCCAAATGGATCCGGGGATAACCTGTCCCTCGGTTTGTGTCCTTTGAGGCTGAGCCCCTGCACCCTCCTCCTTGTCCCTTCATAACCTCAGGAGTGGAATGAGGCTCTGGAGCATGTCTAGAGAAGGGAGTGGAGCTGTGAGGGGTCTGAGTTCAGCCCTGTGGGAGCGGCTGAGGGAACGGGGTGGGTCTCAGTGTGGAGAAGAGGAGTCCGTAGAGCTGCAGCCCTGACAGGAGGACGTGGGGACAGGTTCAGCCTCTGCTCCTGGGTGACAGCGGTAGGGTGAGAGTGACAGCATCACACTGATGGCATCACACCGAGGTTCAGGTTGGGTATTGGGAACAATGACACAGCTGCCCAGACGTCCTCTTGGCTCTGGTGATTCTCCACAGCACAAACGATCCGAGAAAGCGACGTTCCGATGGAAGTTCTCTGAATCCCAAGAACTCAGACCCGTGCGCCCACCGCTCCGGAGGCCGCCGACAGGGGGCGCTAGAGCGCGGGGCGGTGGCACAGTGCACACGTTGCCCCGCCTATCGCAGGCTCTCCACCAATCAGTTTTGCTTCCGGCGCACGGTGATGACGTCAGGAGGCGGTGCCGGGCCGCGGGTCGGAGCGGGTGGAGGTGAGTGCGGGGCTCGGCCGTCGAGCGGACCCGTCGTTGTCCCCTCGGGTCCCTTCTGCTCCTCCGGGCCTCAGAGCCTGCAAAGCCTCCAGAGGCGGGCGGAGGCCCCGGGCAGGACGTCGGAGCTGACGGGACCGCGTAGCCCCGCGCCGCGCGGCCGCCTGCGGGCCCCTCGGTGCGCTCGGAGGGCGGTCGCGGCGCGGCTGTGGGCCGGAGCCGCTCGCCCCGCGGCGCTGTGCCTTCCTTGGTGGGCCTCAGCGGAGAAGTGCAGCTGCAGAGCTGTGAGGGGCTTGGTGGTATCGTAGGGGCCCACGAGTAGGTCGAAGAAAGGCTCTTTATCAGGGAGCCTAGTGACAGGGCGGGGGGTAATGGCTTTAAACTGAAAGAGGGCCGGTTTTGATTAGATGTAGGGAAGAAATCTTTCCCTGTGAATGCGACGAGGCCCTGGCACTGCTGCCCAGAGCAGCTGGGAATGCTTTGTTCCTGGAGGTGTTCAGGGCTGGGCTGGATGGGGCTGTGCGTGCATTGCCCTTGCCCAGGGGCGCTGGGCTTTAAGGCCCCTTGCAGCTCAAGCCGTTCTGCAGGCCCATGATGCTGCTCTATTTGGTGGTGGCGGCAGCCAGGCCTCAGGTGTGCAGGTCAGGCAGCTGCCACCCCTCCCACGGGGTTGTTCCCGGGTGCATTACTGAGCCATAAGGCTCTGACTTTGCCCAGGGGGCTGGAGGATGCCTGTCTGCCAGCAGGAGCCGTGGCACTGCCCTGCCACTTGTCTGAAGAAGGGATCTCTGTGGCACCGAAGCATTCAGCCAGCTCTTTCTCTCACCTCTCAGAGTTGTAATAAAGGCATGCTGACATCTCTTTAGAGCCTTCTGAGTGTGTGGCTTCCTATTCAGAGAGGGGCCCTCATTTCTGTAACACATTCACCTCCCAGCTTATCAGTGATTTCATGTATTTCCTCCCATCCCTCGTGCTGGCTGTGCCCACAAGGCAGAGCCATTTCCATGCTGCTGGCTGATCTCTGCTATTAGCAGCAGGATTCATACACAACCACTCCAAGCTCTGTGTCGGGGTCTTCTCATTGCTTTTGTTTGCTGCTGGGATTCCTTACACAAGTGCTTCTCGAGGAGTGGAGTTGCTCTGTGACAGTCTTGTTTGCAGATGCTCTCATTCTGTTTCTCTGCTAACTTAATTATTTTAGGGTGCAGTGATGCTGGGGGGGAAAAACTGCTTGTGTGAGTTATGATTCAGAAGTAGCTGTAACATTCCATATATTCCTCGTTGCAATGCTGTAATCTGAACTAGCAGCCAGCTGCAGGACAGCCCTCCATGAATTCAAGTCTCAATTAAGCCATCTGTGATGTTTCTTTTTATTTCTGAGACCTGTTGGTGCTTGGTTGGTGTCTGACCTTGTGGTCCTACCAGGGGGTCTTATGTGAGAAGATACTGTGCTGATGTCTGATTTTAACGTGGGATCTTAACTAAAGCCTTGCTTTCTTTCCAGTGTGAATGTAGAGCATAAACTTCTTCTTGTTGTCCCTCTAGAACACCTTTTTTTCCCCACATAATTCTGATGGAAGAGCAGCTGGGGTTCCTGCAGTGCTGAATAGTTGCTTGGAGAAGTGGTGAATGAGTGAAGATACGCTCTGTGATGGTAAGGTGGACGACTGCATCTCAAGGCTAACAGCTTTTCTGTAGTCCTCTGCAAATGCTGTGGCACTGTAATGAT